CAGATGATGATGCTGCCCAGTTTCAACTTGCTCCTCGTACTTCAGCGCCCGACTCGTCCGCTGTAGCCCCACAGACCAGCCCTTAGGTTTTGGTGTTTGACGCCAAAGGGGGAGAGGGTTCGAGTATGTAGACTCAGGGGGAGCAACATTTAGGGGGAGCTAGTTAGCTATTAGTCTATTATATACATTTGGAATTTTATTTGTGTGATACACTATTACTTTTATGCATTCGTGTGTTTACTTTCATGCATACTATTATATCTACGTGTGTTTACTTTCATGCATACTATTATATCTATGTGATAGTGATATCTACGTGATTGTGATATATGACATGTGTGCTCTCTACTTTGAATTCTTTAATATGTCATATCACTTGAGCTATGCTCATTTGCCTTTGCTTCCACGTTTTTACTCCGATGCAAATGAGCCTTTCTTATTGTACTCATGCTTATTTCATATCATTTGAGTACATCATGATGGCTTGGGTTATATAAGCTTGACTAACTCTTTTGTTCTTATTGCTAAAAGCTTATATGATCCAAGCATGTTAAAAACCTCAACTCTTTCACATACTCGAGGTTGTATTGTCACCAATCACCAAAAAGGGGGAGATTGAAAGCATCTAGGCCCCTAATTGGGTTTCGGTGATTAATGACAATGTTAGATTACTGTGACTAACGTGTGTTTTGCAGATGCAATTAAGTTAGGTCACGGTAATGGAGATCGATAGGGCAATCATGGTTGTCATGCCCCTACGATGGAAATCATTTCGGTTTTCAAAGGATGGACGACAAGGTTAAGGATGACTAGTTCTAAGTGTCGATTGGAGTTGAAGAGACACTTAGAGTAGTTTAGGACTTTGTTTTTCCTTTGACCGTACTATTAAGGGGGGTATGGATGGGTAGCTTGACCTAGATGAGTCTAGTGAGTTAGCTGTGGTGCACACTTGTTAAAACTAGCGCTAGGTAGCTCCTACATATGCCTAAGATCCAATGGAGCAAACTTCATTCACGTATGATCGAGAGTTGGAAGTGAATGGAGGGTCAAATACTGACCGGACGCTGGCTCCGGTGCGACCGAACACTGGCTGCAGGGTCCGGTCAGTTCATTTGACCAAGGAGATTGCGTCTGGTGCGACCGGACGCTGAGTGGTCAAGTGACCGAACGCTGAGAGGCAGCATCCGGTCGACTCCAGTAAGGTTCAGAAGAGTGAATCTGCGACCGGACGCGTCCGATCAGTGCTGACCGGACCCTGAGGATCCAGCGTCCGGTCGAGTACAGTAAGCATCCAGTGAGGGAAAAATGGGACCGGACGCGTCCGGTCAATGGTGACCGGACCCTGCCAGCGTCCGGTCAACACGTAAACACTGGTGTGCGGGTTGAACTGACCGGAGCGTCCGGTCAACATGACCGGAGCGTCCGGTCACCCCGCAGAGGCACATAACGGTTCGTTTTTCAGCCCATGTTATAAATAGAAGCTCCACTCGTGTGTGGAGTTACTTTTGCTCATTTCAACAGCTAAAACACACCTTAGAGAGTGCTAAGAAGAGCAAGGTCCTAGTGAGGTGATTGAGATTTGAGAATCCAAAGAGAGCCCTCATTAGTGAAGATCAAGAGTAGCAAAGTGTGCATCCACCCTTCTCCCTAGGCTTGTCGTGGTCAAGTGAGAGTTCGTGCTTGTTACTCTTGGTGATCGCCATCACCTAGACGGCTTCGTGGTGATTGGGAGCTTGGTGATCATCCAGAGAGCTTGTGGATGACCCAACTCAAGTTGTGAGCGGTTGTGGGTGATTCACCGCGACGGAGTGTCGAAGAATCAACCCGTAGAAAGCACTTGATCCTTGCGCGGATCAAGGGGGAGCTGCACCCTTGTGCGGGTGCTCCAACGAGGACTAGTGAGGAGTGGCGACTCTCTGATACCTCGGCAAAACATCGCCGCGTTTCCTCTCCTCTCTTTACTTTGAGCATTTCAATTCTTGTCATTTACATTCCTAGAATTACCATGCTAGAGTAGGATTGGAACTAGGTTGCTAAACTTTTGTGCGTTAGATCAATAGAAACACTTCTCTAGGCACAAGGGGTTAATTGGGCTAACCATAGGACTTGTTTATTGCGAAGAAATTTAGAATTGGCCCAATTCAACCCCCCCCCTCTTGGGCATCTTGATCCTTTCAATCTCGTTAGACCTGTTTCTGCCACCGCGCATGGTTGGAAATTGTACCTATCATGTGGGGAAATGTGTACAACCTCTGCAGAGTGTATTGAATCTATTCGAATAGTCACGTCATTGGAATGGGCAATCGCTGGGATGAGGTCACAAATGATTAGATTCTTTTATGTGTAATGAAACGGTGCTAATATGGTAAGTTACAACCTATAAACTCCGGGAACTGGCAATAAAGGTTAATACTCTCCCAGGACCCAAATTCCATTTTCATATACAAACCACTCCTATCATATACACCTCCGCCACCATAAACCACCTCCACATATAGCCTCCGCCATCCACCTCAACTTTACCCCAAAGTTAGGACTTGCTGAGTACTTTATGTACTCAATCAACTCTACTCTATGTTTTTAGGAGAGAAGCTGCAGGAGCACGCACAAGGATGGAGCTATCGAAGTCTACGCAAGGATGGGACGACATGAATACACACGAGGACGAAGCTGTACGACTACGCAAGGGAGCTACGCAAGGACTACCAGGATTAAGATATAGGAATGAGCTTAAGGATGAGGTTTATGTCCACACTCCAAGTTGCCTGCAGGAATGGAACCACGATGTCGTAGGACCGCTGTGTTAGAACTCCAATGTCTGTTGTAAGGCCAATGGCTCAAGCTATGCAAATATGAACTTTGTAATGTGTTTCCCCGTTATCAATAAAAGTATGGTTTTTATATCAATCTTGTTCAATCTGTACGTATCAGCTACTGATCCAGAGACTGATACGTGATGCACAGTGGACCCCAAAGTAGGGGCCCGCAACGTACGTGCCACCGCTAGCAATAAGGATCTCAAGCCTAGGAGAAGCACGTTATGGAGGACGCAACTTCTTGGGGATTGTCTAATAGCTGACAAACAATATTTTCCCCACACCACGCAAGATCGACATGCCATCATCAACGAATGATGAATTAGGGTTAGTCATGTTCCTGGCGCTACATCCACACTAGAACAAACTGACCATCCTCAACTATGATGACAGGGAGGATCTGTTACCACGGCTTAATCGCTGCAAGTAGTTCTTCAGGGGGATAGTGGATCTCTGACAACGAAAATAAGCGCTACGCATCTTTTCATCTGATTGGTGGCGCACAGTAGTGGTACATGCGCTAGCTGAGGACAAGGTAATCCAGAATTGGGACTACTTTGCTTGTTGAGTTAACAAGCACATTGGTCCTTGAATGTTGTGCAACCCCGTCGACAAATTAGCGGCGTTGTGCAAGGCAGAAACCATCAACGATTACATGGAGTGCTTTCTCACACACGTGGAATGTGAGGGGCCCTTTGACAAGCTCGAAAATAAAAAGCTCCAAAAGTCGACATCTACCCGATGAGTCTGAGAGGAGGGAGGAGATGACAGTGATGCCCGAGACCTGTGGAAAGAGATGTTGAGAGAGATAGTGTGGGAGGGAAGAGAGAACGGAGAGAGATCTGATGAGTGGACCCACTGTCGCTTGCCATCGACGTCAGCAAATCTACAGTTAAACTAGATCAATGGCCAAATATGAATGGTTTTGATAATTCAATGGTTGAAATCAATTTCAAGGGATAGTTGCATGGCAAAAAATGGACTTCTCTTAGTTTGGAGGTTTCCTTATTTTCTACTGTTTTAAAACTTCATTCTTGTACGTGGCAAAAATGTATTTTGTAAGTTTCCTGGCTAGATATGCCATAACTCGATTCTTTTCCTCATGGCTTGATTACGGGATAGGGAATGAGGGGGAAATGGCGGCTGTTGTCTTGCCGGCAGTGAGCGGTCCAGCACGGCCTTGAGCCCTGGAACTAATGGCATGAGGACCTCCCATGTGCTGTGCTTGGGTTTGGAGTTGATGAGGGCATGAGGCCGCCGGCACTGGCCCGGGCATAGGCGGTGGCGTCTATGGCTGTGCTGGCCGTCTATAATGCAGCCCGGGAGAGCTGGGGAGAGGGAGAGGCGATTGCTGAAAAGGTCTCAGCAGCAAAAGAGCTGCGGCGGACCTGCTGTAGGTGTGAGGCTCAGAGTGGCTAACAGGGGATCTATTTTTTTTTTCCGTTGACAGATGAGTACAGCTAACAGGTAAGTGAGAGAGAGAGAGAGAAGGGGACAGCTGTGGATGTTTGGGCAACAAATATCCATTGTGCATCTTTGGCTTAGAGCCATATGCATGCAGTGGTTCCTTAGGTGAGGATGACTTTTCTGGGTAGTCTGAAAATTTCCATATAACTTTCAGGCTTCAATGACTCCGAAAGTTTTTATAACTTCGTTCACAGCGGAAGAAAAATCATATGCTGAAATAACAAGTTAAAGTCTCTTTCTGTATTTTCCTTTTGACTGCGCAGATTAGCTACAAAATACTCCTGTTTCTTGACTAGTTGGTCACAGTGAGTGGGACAACCATAGTGCACAACTGGGGGAAATTTATGTGGCTGGGCTTCAAGCGTGGACTGCTCATAGATCTGACTAATTGGTGAAATGAGCGAATGCGAACTTTTGACTGGGCAAACTGAGTTGAGTGGAGTGAAACCTCTTAGCATCAGACGTGGTGAATCAAGTCTGAGTTGGTCATTCATAATCTTTTCGAGTTCCTTTTTCACCATGAAACATCACTTGGTTGCTCCCTGCATCTGTTTCCTGCACTCTGCTTTTGCTTGAGGTGCGCACCATATCTCTCAGTATATCTTGTTATTATTCACTATAATTAGAGAGCTTTCCAACCATTTGGTTAATCTTCCCCATCTGATCCAACTAGGACCTTTTACCTCAGCGGGAATTCGGGATCGACCACTCCAGCTGATGGACCGATCGCTCCTGGTAGCAGCCATATCAGGTGATGAGGTATCAATGAAGAACATGGCTTCGGAGAATCCAAGCTTGCTCCTTGGAACAACTCCTCAGGGGAACACCTGCCTCCACATCTCCTCCATCCATGGCCACATGCGGTTCTGCAAGGAAATCTTGGCGTTGAAGCTGGACCAGAACTCTCTCCTCGCCACCGTCAACGCGGACGGCGAGACGCCACTGCTCACCGCCGTGACGAGCGAGCATCCCTCCCTGGCTTCGCTTTTCCTTAGATGCTGCCACGAGCTGAAGCTGAGTGAGGCCATCTTGAAGCGAGATAAGAACGGGTGCAACGCGCTGCACCATGCAATTCGCAGCGGCCATAGGGAGCTCGCGCTGGAGCTGATAGCAGCAGAGCCTGCCCTGTCACGCGCCGTGAACCAGTACAACGAGTCACCCATGTTCATCGCCGTGATGAGAGGCCTTACGGATGTCTTCGAGAAGCTGCTGAAGACCCCTGGTTCTGCTGATGCAGGAGCCTGTGGCTACAATGCTCTGCATGCTGCAGTTAAAAATGGCAATTCAGGTCAGCCATGTGGAATGCCATTATAAGTTATTCTCAACTCTTAGTGCTATTATCTTACTAAATTGTAACTTATTATCTGATACTGTTAACTTAATTCTAAGCATCTTTCCTGCTTTGATTTTTTTTTTCAGCTATAGCTAAAATGATTATTGAGAAACGTCCCTGGTTGGCCAGAGAAGAAACCAATAGTAAGAATACTCCGATGAAGCTGGCAGTCATCTGGGACAAGATTGATGTACTACGAGTATTGTTAGAACATGACTGGTCTCTAGGGCATGTCGTCTCCACGGATGGCAGTACTCTGCTTCACTCTGCCGCGTTACGTGGCCATGTTGGTGTTGCTAGGGAGCTTGTTAGGCATTGTCCAGATACTCCATATTCCAATGCAAATGGTTGGACATGTCTTCACGAAGCAGTATGCCAAGGTCGGGTGGAGTTTGTAGAATTCATCCTGGAATCACAAGAGCTTCGCAAACTCATTAACATGCGAGATAAAAGTGGGAAAACAGCTCTGCATTACGCGGTCCACAAGTGCAATCCGAAGATCGTTGCCGCTTTACTCTTCCACAAAGAGGCAGACTTCACCATGCTTGCCAACAATAATAGGGCAGCAACCTGGGAATTATATGAAATCATCGATCACGCCAAGACTTTAAACTGGGTACGTACAGAATTATTGTATTGTATGTTGGTCTTTTATCAAGCTTTGCGAACAAGGTATAGTGATTTGAGTTATTATCATACTGTGTTCCTTCAATCAGACTTCATAGATTATCTGTTTTCTTCAGAGTTTTGTATTAATGTGGATTTCAAATTGTACCTTGAATCTTGCAGAATGAAGTGTACATGCTCATGCTGAAAGCTGACCCGGAAGATACAACCTCTCTCTATAATCTTCACCTGCGTGCTAGAGAAAGAGTAACTAATGAATCAAGGAAGGATATCAAGTCACTAACTCAAACATACACAAGCAACACTACCTTAGTAGCGATCCTTATTGCAACAATTACCTTTGCAGCTGCTTTCACCCTGCCAGGAGGATACAGTAGTGATGCTGAAAGCCAGGGCCTTCCCATAATGGCAGGGAAATTTTCATTTCAAGTATTCTTGATCTCTGACACCTTAGCAATGTGCTCATCACTTGTAGTTGCATTCATATGCATCGTAGCGAGGTGGGAGGATCTTGAATTCCTGCTTTACTATAGATCTTTCACAAAGACTCTTATGTGGTTTGCATACATATCAACCACCACGGCATTTGCATCTGGTTTGTACACAGTTTTGGCTCCTCGTGCCCTATGGCTGGCTTCAGCAATTTGCCTTCTGTCGTTCCTGTTGCCCATTATTACTAAACTGATTGGCGAATGGCCTGTCTTAAAGCTCAGATCTAGGCTGGGTCAAGAATTCAAATCCGAATTCCTTGATATGGTTTGATCTCTCCAGCTGGTGCATGCTCCAGCTAGTCCTTGTGCTCCTTTATGTAAGTATGGTGCAAACAATTTGCAAGATACTGGTTGTCTGCAGTTTAGGATGTCAAGAAAATGAAAACTTCCACACAGCATCACTTGCATGTTTATAATGTGAAAAATAAATTGAAAGAAGTGAAAATTTTGTCGTTATTGAATGGAAAACATTTGTATCACTTTATGAATGCTCTCTGATGATGATGTATGTCATAACAGCCATTCGGAGAATAACATTGTTGCTTTGCTTCTTATATTAATGACACAATCTGCAGCATAGATCATGTCAGTTCTCTTAATTTTCACTAGTCCTACTGTGGCTGCAGGTAGTGGTGGATCCAGAAATGGGTTAGGAGGTGGAATAAATAATAGAATACTAGAGATTTTACTAGTTGTACACCTGCTAAATAAATAATAGAAGTCTAAAATTCTTGCTAGAAATCTTAATTAGAATGCTATGATTTTTTACGAGAAGGCTTTATCCAGAAATGGATTGTTTTATTTGATTTCTCCATTCAGACTTAATGATATTCATAGCAGAGAAGGCTTTTTCAATGATATCAAATATTGCAAATTGCAATGCAATTATTAGAAGCTAGACATTGGCATTCATCAAACAAAACACGAAATGAAAAACTAGAAATTAGTACACGGTTACTCACAATGTCTCGTTATGGATCTTGAATCTGCAGGAGCAGCCAAGTAGGCCACCACAACAGGAGCAGCCGAGCAGGTTGCAAGCCAGCATGGGGCTGGGCCGCGGGGGTTGGCCGGCTGTTTGCGACCTGGGACCGGCCGCATGGGCATCATCCAGCGGCAGCAAGCAATAGGCTGCAAGGGCGGCCGGGCAATCTACGGGATCTGCCGGTGCGTAGCAGCCAGCGGGGCAGGGGCGGAGCCGGTGGCCGCGGGCGGCGGGCGGCGGGCGGCGGGCGGATGTGCCATCGGGGCACCCGCCCACTTTCCACTTCGTAGTCATCGACAACAACATGCTGGAGCCCGCTGGCGCCGGGCTCCGAGAAGTGGCGAACGGAGGCGAAGATGCGGCACGGGTCATCGGCCGTGGGCAATCGGCGGACTTCGGCCTTCGCGCCGTCGATTTTTCGGCGCTCGCTCAGCTGGGGATTCTGGGCCGGCGTTGCTTGGGCTGCTTTGGGCCGTACAACGGATTTGTTACTAAAAATTTTAGGCCACATCTCAGAAAGTTGTTAAATCAAACTTTTAAGTTAGAAATTTGGTGTTTCTGCACTTACTCTGACTTTAATGGTGATTTTACCACCATGCTTAAAATTGTGATTTTGCTCTTGTCATTTTGAAACGAAGCACCGTTTACCTCTACTTTGTAGCATCGTTTAGCTTGGGATGGATTAAATGGTAAAAAAATTAAAAAGAAAAGGCATCCACACGAAAAGACAACCATACCCTTAGAAACTTTCCTCCTAGGTAGGCACCCACATGAAAAGACAACCACACCCGCAAAAACTTTTCTCCTAGGGGCGGTGGCTAGGGTTCCCATTGACGGCGTCCTCGTCACCCAAGCGGCAGGGGCACCGCGTGACCTAGTGCCCTCCCCACCTAGGCGGGCGGCTAGGCCCTCCCGATGGCCCCACGACCTTCACCGGCCAGTGCCCCCTAGCAGCAGCAGAGGGCGCATGGAGGAGGCTGGAGGGCGCGCAAGCAGCGCACAGCTGCACGCTCCAAGAGGGCACACCGGTTGCCTCAGAGTACCAGCCGGCTAGCTCGTGGACATCCGCTTAGGTATTTTCTTTATTCTCTGATATGGATGCTTCAATGCATTGTGAAATAGTAGTGATGTCTAGATTTGTTAACTTGTATATTCGTTTTTTGTTGTGATTTGTAGGCCAATTCATGGTGAATTGAAACTTGTTGTTAAGGGGAATAGGAAGGAGGGGAAGAAGTGGAGGAACCTCTGAGAGGCTTGCTATTTTGTTAGGTTTCAATACTTGATATGTATCTCAATACTAGGTGCCTAGCGAATTCACTACTAGTTCCTGTTTTGTTTAGAATGTCATTTAGACCTATATGTTGGTGTTTGACAAGTCATTTGGACCTATATGTTGACATCTAATATGGTACTGCATGATGGCATATTATATGGAACTGGTGTGTTGCCATTAATGCAACATGTGTGATATTAATTTCTACTTATATAGATTGTTAGTTGAAATGCTTTCGTTTTTTCTAAAAAAATGTTGAGTTTTGCACTAAGTGAATCGTCTAATTCTATATCAAAACTGCTAAACTGCTCATCTGAAAATAAGGCTAAAAACACAAATATCACAATAAAATAGGGATAAAAATACATTGCAAACTTGTCCTTTTGTCAAAAGGTAACACCGTTAGGTGGACTTAGGGGTAAAATCTCCCTTCGTTTTGAAATCGCAGGTATAAAATCACAAAGTTAAAAAACGAGGGCAAAACCACCATTCTTAAGCCCTTTTTAAGTTTATTAAATTTATAAAAAAAAGTAAAAAATCATAACACCAAATTAGTATCAATAAATACACCATAAAGTATATTTTCATAATATACTCATATAGTATCAGAAATATTTATGCTCTATTATATAAATTCGGTTAAACATAAAAATGTTTAACTATGATAACTCTAGAATATTTTTTGAGACCACAGAAGAATTATATTAAATTATAGTTGAGTACATCATCTTGTTACAAGTACTCCAGAATACAATACGTACACCTAGATACTGGGATAGTTGGGCTGGCATTAAATTTGTACTGTAGCAGCTAGAAAACACTGTTTATACTAGAATTTGGTGAGAGAAAAACACTACTCTCGCTGAAAAAAAAGGCCAGCCAGCCAGCCGAAGCTGACCAGCCGAACATCCTCACTCTTTTTCATCTACATTGTACCTACTCTTCGTATATAGCTCCAAATCTCAATCATAAACCTATACGACGATTCATATGGATGACTGCATAAGCAAATACTCAGCAAAAGGCCTAAGAGCAGGTGCCCAACGAACGACGGCCAATATTCCTATAGGCGGAATTGATTTATCCGTTGATGTTTATGACATAAGACATCTGTCGGTTTTCAACAAGGAAGTTCCTTATGAGATTACAGAGATGCATTTATTTAGACCGGATTAGATAACAAACTACTTGAGATTTTAATTTATGGTTTAATTGTACTATCAGCTGATCTAAATTTTAATAAAAATAAATTTTGTTTTTAATCAAAACTACATCAATAATTTAGTTGTATAAATCTTTTGTTTCTTAGGAATGAGTCAATGGTTCAAATGGCTCATAATATTATATTTATTACTTTTTAGGGAAAAACATAAAACCAAACGACAGGACGTGCGTAACCAAACATAACCAACCAATCGAAGCATACATGAAAACAGGAAACGCCAAGGAACAGAGAAAAAAGAAAATGCATCGGACACAGAAAAAAGGAAAGCAAATCGGAAGCGTACATGGTCACATGCAAAACAGAAAACGGAGAAACAGAAACTGCATCGGACTCGGAAACCGAAAAAAGCGGACACGCAGAAAAAGGAAAAAAAATCGGAAGCGGTTCATTGATTTTGCTCTGCTAAGTCACAGGCTGTAACTTTATGTTCATCTACTGCGTCAATTTCAGATCTTATGGCCCAGGATGATTCCTATAAAAGACAGTCCACAATTGAAATTTTTCAGCTTGCCTCGTGGATGTGGGCAGACTTGTGCTGTCCCACGCCACAACGCGCCGCCATCTCTTCCACGCCATGCCACCCTCCACACCGCACCGCTGAGGTCATCAGTGTTAAACATAGAAGTGTGTAATCTATATTTAGTAAGAGATCATCTATATTTGGAGCTGTCTCCTGATTGCCGTGTCCCATTGGTCATGCTTATAACCTTCAATGTATGCGATCTTCTATATATATGAGTGGTCATGACCCATAGAGGTCATCTAGCGCCAATTACATTAACATGGTATCAGAGCTAGGAGAGCAAGGCCAGTTTCAACTATATGACGATGCTTGCGTTCAGCCGATCCATTTTGTTGGTGAGTACGTGGGCAGGAAACACGATGGGCTATGCCAAGGGATCGAAAAAATTGAGTATGAAGTTTTTGGTACTCCCCGCCCCAATCAGATTGGACACATTTAATTTTAGTATAAGGAGGCGTTCTACATGTGCTTGAAATTGCAAGAAAATGTATT